TTTTTTAATTAATATAATTGAGAATGTTTTATAGCTTGATTGTTCTTATTTCCAATAAAATCCATTGTGGTCGGTTTTTTTCTTAGGTTGTATTTCTTGCTGCTATGGAGATTATGGCTGAACAATTTCCTGGAGCCTTTTCAGGTTATTCTTTACAAGTACGGTCTTCTCTTTCTGGATTAATTGTATACCTTCTGGTGTTTGATTTTATACATGGATATTCAAAAGTGTTCCTGATTAAAACTATTAAATCATGATACCTTGTCCATGATGAACRCACAGAATCCTACAGGGAATCTATTAAAAAGGATCTTCTGAGAAGTTATATGCCAAGAATATTGAGAATGTAAAGAGGCTTCATAATCTGCTAAGAGACTCCACCAATGTTGCTGTGGTTGTTGAGAGGCCTAGTTGAATTGTTGGAGATGTATGCAGCAGGAGAAGATATTTGCATGGTGCATGAGGAGAGGAGTGGTGGAGAAGAAAATTAGAAATGTAGAGGAGAAAATAGGGAAGTCAAACCTGATAACATTATTAGGAATTGGAGTAGTTTTGGGGGGGGGTTAGGAGGTATASGAGTTGTCCCTTTCATGAGACCCATTAGAGGGAGGAACATGAAGAGGGGGCTTAGTGAGGTAGTGYGTAGARTTTGGATCAAGATTCCCCTCACCCTGAAGAGGAGGTCCAAATAAAAGAGACCTGATCACTAAATGTTCAGGGTCTTTTTATGGGAGGTGAAAAGTTTACGATGTCTATGTTTACAACTTCAAATATGAATATTTTGTTTGGTGACAAGAGTTGTTTGTGACGTATGATAAAATAAGGAGGCTACATTAACTAGATTTGGCAAGGGTGGAGGTGGACAAGGTGTCTGACGTAAAATTTAGATAAAGGGTTGAAGTTTCTGATACAATAACAAGGAATAGGATGGGAATTTGATGGCCTTAACTGAACTGAACTGAACTACATTTTGATGGGTTGGTTACAGCAACATATCGTGGACATGGGCCAGCCTGGACTTTGTACTTGGGACTGGACATACAAGTATGTCCAAAACAACATGCAGCCAACACGACAATGGTCTTCTATTTGAACCATCCCAAATTCCGAATAGCCCACCTCATTTCTCTGACTGCCGAAAATACTATAGGTTCAGTTTGCTGGTTGCATTGATAATTTCATTTGCATTAGAATAAATGCATGATAACCCAAATAGGCCATTTAAATTTTGATTTATTTTTGCTTTCATGTTTGACTTTATCATGTTTGTTTGGGAGAGTCAAATAGAAGTAAAATGACGCTGTTTCCATCTTATACAGAAGAGAATGGACGTAAGAATGCTCTACTCAATTTTTCAAGGATGATTTGACACTCAATTCGACATGTCCCATTCTATGCATGTAATTCATTTTCTAAAATTGTTTATTAGTTGCATTTTTTTTTTGAATTGTCATCAGCTAATTTTGATCTTATAAATAATTTAAATTGACATTCTTTTGCAGCTCAAGTGTCAAATATCCAAGTTGGCCAAAGTCAGCCCTTACAAAGTGAGAAAACAATATTCTTTTAAAGATTTTCACTTCATTTTACTTGATCTTGTATTTTGAGCATCGACCAATTTTTTACTGATAAACATAATCCATTCTCTAACAATTTATATGGTATGATTTGCAGTTCAACCATCATGTTAAATGGATTTTCATTGGAAGACATGTTGCATTATCCTGGAATTTGGATTATTATTTTTTAAATTGTTGTACTTTTATACATCAATTGGATATTGTATTTAAACAATTTGCTTTGAATATTATAATAATAAATAATTCAGGTACCACAAAAATGCTTCACTTAAGTGGGTATATGCATTTTTTTGAAAAAAATAGGTATATGCCGACGGTCATGTTTGCCGGCTTAGCTATCAACATGACCAAAAGATGTTAGAATTAACCTAGTATAAATAAAAAAAAAATATCTAAGCTGGTGGTCATGAAACCGCTGGTTTAGCCATAGCACATAAGGTGGCGGTTCAGACCGCCACCTAAGAACATGAGGGTGTTTGATAGAAATCTAAGGCGGTGGTCTTTTGGTATCTAAGCCGGCGGTCTAAATCGCCAGCGGCTTGGTGTGACTGCTGTTTTAGAGCAATTTGAACTGGCCACTTAAGGCGGCAGTCTTTTGCATCTAAGCCGGCAGTCTTGACCTAAGTCGGCAGAGGTTTAGGGGGCAGACTGAAGACCGTCGCCTTAGATCAAAGTCGGCAGTCGACCATTGGCTTAGATTGATTTTCTTGTAGTCTCTCTCTCTCTCTCTATATATATATATATATCCCCCACTATATGGAAAGGCTTCATGATCTTAAGAGTCCATGTAAACATATCAACTTTCTTAAGTACTAGGGTTGCTATTTCTATGGACATTGGCCATGGGGCCATGATTGTGCAACAAATAACAAGTAATTGTTATTTGTTTGTAGTGGAAGATTGTGGCAATCATTATGGATGTATGTTACAAACTAGGTGTTTATATTACCGGAATTTGTAGAAGTGTCCTTCAGATTTAAGGGCTAATAGTGACAAAAATGATTTTTGTCACTATACATTATATATAGTGACGGAAATTTTGTCACAATTATATTTTTAATATGTTAATAGTGACAAAAATAATCATCACTATATTATTTAATAGTGACATTTTAAAAATTCCTTACAATTTGTTTTTCATTAGATAATAGTGACAAAAGTGATTGTTACCATATTTTACAATAGTGAGAGATATTAAAAACTTCGTCACTATACATGATGAACATTTAGTTTTTAGTAACGAGCACAAGATGTTTGTCACTAAAACATTGAAACAATGACAAGCATATTTGTCACTATAAATAAATTTTAGTGGCGGACACAATATTCATTACTAAAGTAAAACGAAATGGTGACAAATTAAACCGTCACTAAAGGTTATACATTAGTGGCGGATTTTTAAATTCGTCACCATATGTTATAGTGACGCTGCCTATAGTGACGAACATAATTCCGTTGATTGTTCGTTACTATAGAACTTTTAGTGACGGATTTTTTTATCTATAGTGACGATTCTTGTTCGTCACTGAAACTTAATTTTCTTGTAGTGTTTTCTTGTTCTTGAGCTTCTAAGATACATAATACAATTTCTAATTTTAGAAATGTGAGTAGAAATGATTTTTAAAGCATCTTGTACACATAAATTTAAGATTTGTCACAACTAATTGAGATTTTAAAATATTTATTATTGAATCATTTTTATTAGCATTATCAAAACTAATAAAAAATTTTATTTTCAATTTCATAAGTATGTAAAGTAATATACTAGGAGCAATTGTTTGGCCACTATGTGGCCATTCAAATCTTGTAAAACTTAATTTTTTTTTTTGTAAAAGCCAATTTTTGTCAATAAAATGCCTTGTAACACAAATATAACTAATATTATATTTTGAAGTCCAAATATCATATGTAAGTGAAGTTTTAGAATTAAGAGTTGACAAAGTAGAAATTAAATTTTGTTTATATGAATAAAATTTTTTTAAAGCATTTGCTCCAATTGTATTTCTAGAAATTTTTTAAATTTGGAATTTAATGATTATTGTAAATATCTTTCTAGCCTAGGGTCTAAAGTTAATAAAACGGTTATTCAACATGTACAACATACTTAGCTAATTCTTCTCTTATTTTTCTTGGGAATATTCAAAATTACCAAAACCCATGCCCAATTTGTGTTTGACTTTGATTATATTTATTTTTTAGATGATTGGCATATATGTCTAGCCAAATGGCCAATACCACGCTTGGTGCTATAACTAAAATCACTTTTACATTTTCATACAAGCAACTATTTTTCCTTGCCTTGAAGAGTTTTTATGGTAAACATATCCGAGATTGGGTTGGTTTTTTTTCTTTTCACTTAGACCCCTAGTAGCAATACTAGGGGTGATTCTGACAGAAACATCAGCTATAGAACCATAGCACCCATATTGATATTGATGCTATCGTATTGTGACTATACATCTTCGAAAGCCAACACATGTTGGGAAAGGGATTTTAAGTGGAGCCAAGCATTTTTAAAAATTTGTAGTATTAAAACCCTAAAAAATGAAAATTAATTGCAAATTACCTTGTTCGCGATTCGGAATCTAAACTTGATTTCAACTGATGAAGCTTCTAAGCCTCCCAAACCACTAACTTAATATACTTGACTTGGCCTTTTTCTTGTGGATAAAGTTGAGAATTAGGAATAGGGAACAAGAGATTAATAGAGTCTAAGAGAGAGAGAGTATGAAAGAGTATATGAGTATACGAGGGTATGCGAATTGGTATAATAAGAATGAAGGAGTATAAGAGTATTTATGAGAATTATAATTAATTGAATTTACCAAAATACCCTTAAAACTATCGGTTTAATAGTTGTTGGGTGAGATATTTTGTTTTTTCATAAAGTTAATGATCACTTTAAAAAAATACCCATCAAACTAGCTAATATATAATTGCTAGGGGGCATTATTGTTAATTTTCCTCCCCCAGTCAAAATACACAATTACCTCCCCTAAACTAGCTGTTTACTACTCTTTGGGGGGTATTTACGTAAACGACTATATTCTTAGTGGGCTGGCTTTGTCAATGGGCCATGCCGGGCCTGGCCACGGGCTATTCTAGCATAGCCCACTTTGTCGTGTTATGTCGTAAACGACTATATTCTTAGTGGGCTGGCTTTGTCAATGGGCCATGCCGGGCGTGGCCACGGGCTAATCTAGCATAGCCCACTTTGTCGTGTTATGTCGTAAACGACTATATTTTTTAGCCCAAGCCCTACATGACCTTTGTGGGCTCTCCGGATTTATCACCAAACATTGCTTATGGGCTTTCAAAATGGGGCCCCAAAAGCTTCCACGTGAACGTCGGGAAAAGGAGTGAAAGGGAAGCTCTCTCACTATCAATCCCAATTCCCCACGAGCATCCATCCATACTTGTAGTGCTAGACACCTTAGAAACAGGCCAAAAATGGGCTTCTAATTGAACGGCTTTGATTTCTAGAACCCATTTCTTGGGACAAAAGGCAGTCCATGGAATAGACGGTCTAGATTTGATAATACGTTTCTTCTAATGCGGAGTATTATATCTGATGTACCCTCACTGTTTGGATGCCCTATGGTATATATACAATGTTATGGGGTTATCCCCAGAGAGAGTAACACAAGGCACGAGAAGGAAGGAGCTCGGCTTGATTCTTCTGTGGACGCACAGACACTCGCATCAACCTATCTTCATTCTTTCTTTCTTCTTCGTCCCTGCGTTCAAGCGGAGGATGCCAGGCCCCGTTGTGGAAGAGGAGGAGCAACTCGCCTCCCTCAAGGACCAGCAACAGAAGAAAGTTGAGGCGGTAATACATACGTTGCGCCTAAAAGCCATAAATATGCTCGTATTCCTGTTTCGCATTTGCTTTTGTTTGTTTATTTTGTCGTTTCTCCATTTCCCTTGTTTGGCAGAAAGACGAGCCCATCGTCGAGGATGTTAAAGACGATGAGGAGGAAGATGACGACGATGACGATGACGACGATGATGAGAAGGAAGATGGTCCCGAAGGTACACTTCCTTGCCCTCCCCACCTAATTGTTTATTTGGGGTTTTAGTTTTCAATATTATTCATCTTTACTCTTTTTATTACTTTTTTCAGTTTTTTCTGATTCTAGGGTTTCTCATCTTACGTCTTTTTAGATTTGCTTGTCCTAACCCTAATGTGAACTGTCTCGGTTTGAGGGTTTTGTCTGTTAATCTCCGTTTCTCTGTTTTCTCTGTACTCTATCTATGTTTAAATGTGTCTGTTGCCATGCCCGTGAGATTGCTATTCATTACTTGAGACCGAAGTTTTCTTTTGTCGATGAATCAAATGATGGCCCAGTAGTAGAGATTCTCCTCTGCCGAATTTTACTTTGTACGTCAAGGTTTTTATTTTATTTTATTTTTATTTTTTGTTTTAGGTTATAATGCTATTAGGAATTAGGATTGGGATTAATGTGTTTCAGGATTAGAGTTCTGAGGATGCTGTTCCAGTTATTGGATTGGCTAACAACATTTTTAAGCGCTAGTTGAGAGAACTAACTTTTTGATTAAAACTATAAACTGAGTGGACATTGTTTCACACTATTTCTTCTTGGTGATAATGGACTCATCTTTTTTCTCTTCATTGTTGCATTTAGCATTCTTGGTGTACATTTGAGTTCCACTACCGACCTCTTGTATTCACCTAATAGTTACATTTAATTTGATTCAATACACGATTGCTAGCATTTCCTTGCTTATTTTATCTTTCCATTTGCAGTTCACTTCCCACCTTCCTAAGTGAAGTTTGTCTTCTTTATTGTTGGGTTATTTCATTGGTGGTATTCTTGGGATGTCAATAAGTACAAGGGAATGTGATGGGTTGAATACAAGGTTTTAAAAGGCTAAAGGTGTAGTTGCGGCATAAGCCTCGAAAAAAATTGATTAATTAAAGTTTATAAGTAATAAAGAGAATATATGATAAACTAAGAATTATTTTATAGAATAGTTTATAAGATACCTAATTCTAGGCTTTTAGCATTCAACTAAATAATAACCAATCAACTAACAACCATCACTTCTCAAATGAATCCTCAGATCTCTCATATACCCATTGCTGTTTCTTGATTTCCATTATAAGTGGGTCACCTTGGTATGATTTTTCCTGGTGAATCCTGGAGGGTTGCAATCAAAAGCATACCCCTTATCTATTACTTGCAAATGCCCTTTCCACCACTAATAGGCTAAAGTATCTGAAATCCTTAACTTTTCCTTGACATGATATTAGTTCATACCTCTTGTGAATCAATGAGAATGTGGAATTCATGTCCCTGCCAAAAATAGAAAAAAATTGATAAACAACTTACCATTTTTAGGAGCTTGATGTGATTTGAATCATTTGATCTGAGGATACCAGGATGGTTCTTGAAATCTTAACACAAATTTTAACTGCATTATTGCCTGTTTTTGTTCTATCCCCCTCTTCTTCTATGAACTGCAAGGTGGCTTTTATCAGTTACCTACAAGGACACAGATATATGCCTCCTGAGCCCTGACAATTAATGAAAGTTCTAATTTCAAAAGGTTATTGATAACTCAATTTTCTGAAAAATTTATAGATTTCTGATTGAACTCGTTTTGATCTATATATAAGAAATCTGTATTGACAGTGAGGCTGAAACTCATTTTTGGGTTTTCAACTCTTGTTCAATAAAATCATATAACAATCTTTGTTTTTTGGCCCCGAAGCCTGAAATGCTAATTCCCAAGAATGGCCGGGCTTAAGTTTGAGGCTAACTGAGCCATGATTGCTTGATTGGGTAATTCTTAATTCTCCAAGAAGATTTAATGACTATGTATCACCTGGAGGAAATTTCATCCATCTATGCTACTTCTTATTTTGGCTTTAACTACGTTTACTTTGATGACCTTGATGGTGCTAATTTTTCTATGGAGATATTTTGCTCAATTCTTGTTTTCCTTCAAAAAAATAAGATGAAATAAAATTGTCCCTATGAATTGAATAGAACTTTTGTTCTGTTGTCAAAATTGTAATACTTGAACTCTTACTGCAGAACGGTTTGCTGCATTATCATCTCTGAACACGTGTAGTAACCATCCTTGTCTTTTTGCTCTGTGTGTGTGTATGTTGAATTGTTGATGCTGGTCTCTGTAAAGAATTCATGATGTCTTCAAGGATGACTCTATTCTATAGCCTTTTGTTTTTACTCTATTTGTTCTTTTTATCTTCAATCTTTTAATGGTTCAATTTCTTATCTTGAACTGTTATTGATAGGAGAGCAAGGTGCAGGTGCGAATGAGAGCTCAAAACAAAGCAGAAGTGAGAAAAAGAGCCGAAAGGCAATGTTGAAGCTAGGAATGAAACCTGTTACAGGTGTCACCAGGGTTACCATCAAGAGAACAAAGAATGTGAGTCCTTGTCAAGCATTTTGACAAAGTTGTCATTTAGACTATGAGATTTGATGTCTAATTAGCAGTACTTTTTTAATTGGTGGAGCCCTTCAGATTCTGTTTGTTGTCTCAAAACCTGATGTGTTCAAGAGCCCCAATTCTGAGACCTACGTAATATTCGGAGAGGCAAAGATCGAGGACTTGAGTTCTCAGCTGCAGACACAGGCTGCCCAACAGTTCAGGATGCCAGACATGGGGTCAGTGATGGCCAAACCAGACGTAGCTGCAGCTGCAGGTGCTGCACAGGCTGACGAAGAAGAGGAGGAGGTTGATGAGACTGGCGTGGAGCCTCGAGACATTGATTTGGTGATGACACAGGCTGGAGTTTCAAGGAGCAAGGCTGTTAAGGCTCTCAAGACTCATAATGGAGATATAGTGAGTGCTATTATGGAACTCACTACCTAGAGGTAGGTCTGGTGGCGGATTCATTGATAGTCTTCATCTTTCATCTATTGATATAAGATTTTGAACTTGAACATAACTACTCAATTTATTATTATTATTATTATTATTATTATTATCTTTTCATCTAGAGTTATTTTCATCTTTCAACCATTATAGTAGGTTGGTACGTGGGTGGTTTTTTTTGATAGTAGTCGGTCACTTGTGAAGGTGCAAGTAAACTCACCCTTGTCTTTGGAACAAATCTTTTTGGAAATTGTTTTCTCTCCATTATGTGACAGAGTGGTATCATGACATCAATCCCTCTTGCTTGCTGCCTTGCTATGTAACGTCAACGAGCAATCCAGTTGTACATTGGGAACATCTACCCACAGTGATGTGTGGGTAGGAGTAGGAGGTTCGAACACAACATCTACATATGGTTGTCCATAAAAAACCGATCCGAGTTGAATAAATCGCGCTTTAAAATCTGGTTTTGTTTTTCTTAAAAAAATCGAAGGATCGATTTCATTTTTGGTTAACCTATCAAAAAACCGGTGGTTAATTAAACTGATCGGTATATATATAGTTTTTATATTATAATTTATTATTATTTTTTATTTCATTTCCTTTCCCCTCTGTCAATCGGTCCTACATGCCCAAGCTGCCAAGCCCAAATAATACACCATAATTTGTCCAAGACCAAATGAATCGATTGGCTTTTTCCTATTGTTTCTGAAAGAAGCTAAGGCCAAGCTCAAAATCCCTAGATCTAGGATTTTTCCTATTGCTGATCCGTCGTGTTGGCAATCCTTCGTCAGTCTCTTAGATCTGTGATCTCTCTTTGTTTTCCGATGCTCCCCAATCATGCCCATCTCAGTCTCTCAATCACTCTACTCTCTCACTTTCTCAAAATCTCTATCGCCTCTTTATTCTTCGAATTTGTGACTTTTGGTACGTGGCGACTGGTCTCTGATGTAGTGAACGTCTGAATGCTTGGTTGAATGCCAGAGGACTAGGTGTGCAACTCAACTGCACTGCGCACTGTGCATTAAACAGCCCGACAGGCGGCAGTGGTAGGTGCTGGTGGAAGGTATACAGATACGGTCTCTCTTTTAATCTCACTCTCAAATGATGAAAACCTCCACGTTTTGAAAGATTTTTTATTTTTTGAATTACAAATGACAAAATAAAGAAACCAAAAACCGAAGATTGCTTAACCGATGAATCGGATTAAAACAAAAATCAGTGATATCGGTTGGTTCGGTTTAGAAAGTATGCAAATATGCCCATGGCCAGCCCTGGTCACAAGACCTGCCATACCTGCCCACGAGATGCTACAGATGTTCGACCCAATCAATGGCAATTGGCAACATACAAGTTTGAGATGTGAGGCTGTAGGGTTTTGTGGCCCTGTTAGTAGTAAATCCGTCTATAGACAGTTATTACCCACTACAACTTTGCTACCAGTAGCAGGGTTGCCAGATGTTTAAGCTGTGGCCGCACATTCAGAACATCTCACGTAATTGCGTATTCCATTCATGGGGAGATGTGACCAATGCATAGTTTCCTCTGGATAGATGTGGGTAGGATTCATGTTAGCAGGAGATCTGAATTGTCATTGATGTTTGGATCATGGTTTTTAAAAACGAACCGGAAACAGAACCGGTCAGGGGATCAGTTTCCGGTTAAGTGGTTAAACCATCCTGGTCGAATGGTTCGGCCCTTGACGTTATAAATAAATTAAAAATAAAAAATATTTATAAATAATAAAAATAGCATAAAATTAAATAAAAATAGAAAAAATACAGAAAATAAAACTATCTAAATAAAAAATAATACGGTACAAAACACATAGAAAATATAAAAATAAAATACAGACAAATTCTAAAAAATACAGAAAAAACATAAAATATAGAAATAAAACAGAAAATTGCAAAAATACAGAAAAAAACTCTAGAAAGTGTGGATGAATGAATAAAACAAAGTCATCTCCATATGCTGATAAAAATAGGAATGAGTTCACCTCTTGAGAAGTTGGGATTTGTAAGGCAAGGAGCTCTTCCATGCTGAGATCATCTACGCTGAAATTGAATCAAGAACTAACCCAATCATCATCATCATCGAAGCCTTTTACTCGCTAGAGAAATCAGAATATCAAAAGAAAAAGAAAAAAAAAAATTATAACAGAGCATCACCAAAAACAATATACCATTTCTCCTTGCATTTGGAGTTCCATCTTTAGACTAGAATGTTAAATCCTAAAATGTAAAAATCCTTACCTAAAATCAAGATTCATAGGGATAGATTCCCCTGGCATCAAAATAAAAGGGGAGAAATAGGAGCATTCACTCTAGAATGTTAATGGTGGTGTGACAGTGGGCTTGGGCTTGGTCGCAGGCCAGTTGCCGCTGCAAGTGCTGCTCCAACTTGCATAATCGCAATGCCCAATGGTGATGTTGCTGCCAATGCAAACTCCCCGCCCGCCGCTGCAAACTTGCCGGACATCTGCCACAAGTTCTGGCCGCCACAACTCTTACCCTGCAAGTGCTAGTTGCCGCAACTCTAAATACTGTAAACTCGCCATCTCCGGTCATCGTTAATCGCCGTTGGATGCTGGAGGTGCTGGCCGCCGCAGCCCGCAGGTGGTCGGTTGGGTGTGAGGGTTGAGAGGAGGGAATTCGGGAAGGGTTAGAACAAAAATGGGTTCTAATCCTAAAGCTAAAGGGACTAATTCGAACTAGGTTGGGGATATAGAAGGTATTTTATTTTTTGTTTGTTTTATTTAAAACATTAAAAATAAAAACTAGTAACCTGCGAACCACTGCCCGGGTCAAACAGTTTAGCGGTCTGACCACCCGAGTCAGCGGTTTTTTGACATTTTCAACGTTTTTAATATAACCGGTCCCGGGGGCTGATCAGTTACCGGTTTTTCCGGTCTGGTTTTGAAAACCATGGTTTGGATCTCTTACTTACAAGAACTCAAGTCTGCCCACACGTAGGGGTAAGCATTATTCGGTTAAAACCAAAACATTGAATCGAAAATTTCGATTTTGATTTTATTGGTTCGGCCTTTTCTGTTTTTAATCAAAACGGTTTGATTAATTCAATTCGTTTTTAATTTTTTAGTTTATTTTTTAAAATTTCAATTTATTCGATTCAATTTTTAACCGAATAAACAGAATTCTCACCCCACATCACTATAGCAGCACATTGTAAATATTTTAATATTACTATTCATGTCTATCTAATTAACAGCTGTAGTGTGGTGTGGATAGATATAGTAACATTCATATGGGTACGAGAACTGGATTGCCTCGTTGAAGGGAAGGGCCTTGATTGCGCTTATGAACGGAGTTACTTTCCAGTAACCTTTCTGTCCGTTTCTCATTTATTTCCCAGTACACCCTTTGAGTATAATTCAATTTGATAAGAGAAAAATGTGATCGGAATTTGAATTCGAATATGTTGGATATTCAAAAATTACGCATTATTAATTTCCCAATACAGCCTTAAAATTCCAACGTGACTTACCACATTCTCACTCAAATTTAAATGAAAATCAAAACCTATCCGTTTTCTTTGCTTGTCCACTTGCAAATTACTCAAGTTATAAGACTTAAATTAGCATGAAGCGCTATTGGAAATGAAATGGCCTCATCTTAAAAGTTGTGGAATAGGCTGCATTTGGCATTTCTTATTTTAAGGATTTGTTTTTCTTTTTTGCAATTAAAATATCTCTATAAACACTGACATGGTGTTTGGAAGTGTGGGCGTTTTTTGGGACCGATTTTCATGAAAAAACGCCCATGCTTTTAAGACCCATTTTTCATAAAAAAAACGCTTCTGCCACGTAGGCAATGAGTAATATTATACTGTTTGGTAAGGTGATTTTCATCACCGTTTTTCATGTGTGTTGACAGGTAAGCACCACATAGGAAACACATCAGTCAACCGTTGGGGGAAACGGTTCACTGATGCATGAAACGCCAAATTATCGGTGGGGTCCCGATTTTCGATGCATACCCGATTTTTTAATAATCGGCTGAACCAAACAATGAGATACATGGGCGTTTGTTGAAACGCCTATGTGGATCCGACATGGAACCATTTTTTTTGAAAAACGGCCACGGTTCGAAACATCCCCTGAGTTTTTAACAAAAAGGAGATAGTCCTTAAAATAAGGAATGCCAAATGCAGTCTTAGGTGGCATTTTATAAATCTGAAAATTCATATCTGAAAAGTTAAAAAGATATTAAAAGTGTTTGAAATCTGAAAAGAGGCATAATTGCTTTTTTACTTTTTAGAGGATTTGAATCCATAAGTTTGTTTGTGTTGGATCAACTCTTTACCATCTGAAATTTACTGATTTTACTATTTTACCCCTAGAACATTTTATTTGAAAATGTTGAGTTCAATTTACATTATCTCATAAAAAATAATTTTCAACCTTAAAATAATATTGAAACAATAAAAATAAAAAACAATAAATTATTAATTAATAAATGAAACAATTAAAATTTTAAAATAATTAATGACTATAAAAATATTAAAATAATTAATAATTAATAATTAATAATTTATACAAATAAAAATTAAAATAGTTTTTAAAGATTAATAAAATAATTAAAAATTATTAGTTAATAAAAATATTTAATAAATAATAAATAACATAAATAAATTTAATAATAAATAATTAATGTTTAATACAAACAATAAAATAATTAATAATTAATAAAAAATTGCGGTGGAAGAAAGAGAGAGAGGGGGGAGGCGAGAGAGAAGACAGGGGGAGAGAGCCGCCGTTGCAACTTGTAGCGGTGGTGGCGGTGATGGGAAGACGGGAGGGAGGGAGAGAGAGAGAGAGAGAGCCGCCGCTACAAGTTGTAGTGGCGGTGGCGGAAGATAGGGCGAAGAGAGGGAGATTGAGAGAGCAAGAGAACTGCTGTGGCGGTGGCAGAAGACAGGGCGGAGAGAGAGCGAGGGCGAGAGAGAAGAACCATCGCTACTGGAGAGAGAGAGAGAGAGAGAGAGAGAGAGAGAGTGCAGTGGCGATGGAGCTTCGTTTAGTTCACAGTGAGTGCTTGATTGGATTTACATGAAAGGACAAAAATATGTAATATTAAAATTTCTTTAAGGGTATTTATGTCTTTTATGCACATCTGAATTAGGTCTGTCCACCTCTAAGAAATTAAGATCTGAAATCCAATTTGAGATCTGTAATAAGAGGTAATAACAAAGCAAGGTGTCTGAAAAGCAAACTTTTCGGATTTTGACAACTAAAAAGTGCAATCAAACGGCACCTTATCTAAGACCCTGTTTGGTTTGTGGGAATAGGTGTCTAGAATAGGGATCGGAATGGGCTATTCCGGTTCTAACTATTTGGTTGGGTGGAACCGGAATCCCATTCCCATTCCTGCTGGAATGGCATTCCCCCATTTGAGAGAATGGCCATTCCCTGCCCCGCCCTTGGGAATGAAGTCCCATTCCTGCTGGTTTTAATTCACATTCCTATTCCTGTCTGAGCCAAATAGAATATGGGAATGGACCATTCCGATTCCGATTTCGAAGGATTTCAATTTCGATTCCAATTCTGACTATGAACCAAATGGACCCTATGGATTTTGATTTGGACTTTAAACTAATTGATTTTTAGACTACATTTGTAAAATGCTTGGGGTGATCATTAAAAACCAAAATACCGAGAAACCAAACCAGATCAATGGAATCAAACTGAATAATCTGGTTAGCCGAACTGGTTGGTTCATTATTTTGGAAAAACTGAAGGTAAAGGTTTAGTTTTGGTTAACCAATATAAAAAATCAGTGGTTAACCGAACCAAATAATATATAATATATTATATTCGATTTTCCAAAAACTAGTGGTATCCCTTCAGTTAAAAAAAGTTCCACCTTTCGGTTAACTGAACCATGAGCATGCCTATAAAAAGCCCATTTGAGAGAGCTTATGCAATGATTGAGCTAAGTCACGTTTGAGAAGCTACCTAAAAGCTAGGATAGGTTCAACAGAAAGTCAAATTTTGGGCCCAAAGCTTAATTTTTGTTTTACAGATTGTTATTGAATAGGGCTTCATGACTTTGTGACTTTCTTGTCTCATACAACACCAGAAGTCACTGTGTGAAGCCCTCCTAAGCGGGCACAAAGGCCTCTATGAACTGCAACTTAGGTAGTTAAAAATGTAGAAGAAAAATGCTTTTTGATATTTATGAAGCTTTAATATGACCCCACTAGAAAAAAAAAAAAAAAAATTCATGGCTACACTACGGATGGCAATTTCTATGTTGGGAGATAAAATACCTTAGCCATTATGTCGGGTAGTGAAAAGATGTTTTTGTTTCCAAAAATATATTTGTTTTTGAAACCATCAAAATTATGTTTTTTAAAATAAAAACAAATTTTCATTCTTCAAACAATTGAGAACAAAAAACACATACAAAAACAATAACATGTTTTGTGTTCTTGTTCTGTCAAATAAAATGATTCTGATTTATTGTTAGAATTGGTAATAAGAAAAACAATTTCCATTGGAAAGCGTACCCATTTCATATCAAGTTTGAAACCACATGCCACTATGTTCATCTACATCTATCCCATATTTTGTAATAAATTTTATAGGAAAAAATCCAGATCAGTACCATGAACTTTAGGGGTTGCGTAATATGTCTAATAGGTCCTGCCATTAATTGACATGTGTCACTTAAAATTTTTAAAATATCGAAACTACCCTTGAAAAAAGACATTGTTCATTGTCTTTACTTTGAAATTGAAGAATTGTGCCAAAAACAGATTTGAACGAACCAACAACTAGGAGTGAACATTCAGTTTGTTCAGTTCAAAACCAAATCAAAAAAACTGAAATTTTTACAACTGATTTATCATAGGCTAAAACTGAACCAAAAATGAAATTGGTTGAAATCGATCAAATCGAACCAAAATTTTATTCTGTTATTTTGGTTAAAAACCGAAATAGAAATCCACCCCAATCAAAATAAAGAATCTCTGAAGATGGTTGCAGGTTGCAGCCTCTCTCATTTGGTCGCAACCTCTCTCGTTCATGGTCTGTCCGCAGTGTTCACTCTTCGCTCTAAGACGATTAAGACTTAGGAGACTTGGATTCTTTGAAAGTTTGAGAGATTGAGGTTTGGAGCTGGAGGAATTTGAGGAATAGAAGAATAAGACGAAAAGGAAAGGGTTAGAGTTTAGAGAGTATAGACTAGACTCTAGAGAGTAGAGATTGGCGTGCTCAAGAAGAAAAGGCCTCTATAGACTAGACTCTAGTGGGTAGAGACTGACGTGCTTAAGAAGAAAAGGAAAGCTTGAAAAGGTTTTTTTTTCTTAATCTTTTTAGTTTTCCCTTTTTTAGTTAAATTTTATAATCTTGACATTTAAGTTTCTTTGTATTGGGTTGAGCAGCTTCCACTTTCTATTAAGTCCTATGCGGGGTATGCATCGCTCTACGTATCAACTATCAACAATATTAAAAAAATTATATAATTTTAAAAATAAATTGGTTTTTCGGTTAATCAATTTGTGAACCATGACAAGTGAAACCGAAATATAAAAAAACCGATTTTGGCAATCGAAACTGAATCAAAAACTATTTAAACCGAACCAATTAAGCCAAAACCAGAATTTCAATTTGATTCTTCGATTTTAACCAAATTCTGCTCACCCCTACCAACAATGGTGCTGGGAACTGACCAAGTTCTTGCAACAACTGAAATCGCCATTGATATGGTTTCCTGTATATTCTTTATTCTTTTTAAATTTTATGTAGCTGATGAAAATTTCCTATATATTCTAAAATCCATCTTGGTAGTTGCTGCAACCTTCCCATCTCAACCAGGATGCAAAGGGAAATGATATCGATTTTAGCATTTACAAGGGAAAGTTTATGTTGATTGTTAATGTTGCATCACAATGGTATGACCAAGTTTCTTCTTTGTCGTCAATAGCCGGTAATCTATCATTCTAGAAGCCGGAAAACAAGATTGCTTGAAATCAAAATTTAAATGAAAAGAGTTTTGTTTAAATTGGTTCATGTGGAAGTGGCAGATAAAAAAAATAAGATGACACATGATGGATAGTTTTGACATTTCCAAAATTAACTAACGGGCTGTTTAACACATTCTGAAAGTTCAAAGTTCTGCATAGACACCTAAAGTTCAAGGTACTGAATACTGATGAGGGAATTTCTCAATTTTATACGTTGGGTAATTTCTACGGTGCAGAGAAAGTATTGTACTTGATGAGCTTTATGCAATGAGAAACAGACGTGAATTTTAGCGAATAACCACTTAGATTGACCCACTAGTATAGTTTGGATGATTATCGATTGATTGGTTACAAGTACAGAAGGGCCCTAAAGTAAAAAAGGACAATGAAATGGTAATACAGAATGTGGCTCGGATGGTCGAGCGATAGCTAAGCAACCAAGAATAGAAGGCCAAACAATAATACTAAAAATCAAAATTTACCGCTTCAGGCTGGCGTATCGTGATTGGGCTATAGTACTATGGTCCATGCCAATAATGGGAAAACAAAATCCGTTGCATTCTCCCTCAAACTAGCAAAATCCATAAAATGTTGCAACCATGAAATTACCCAAATCCAAAAGGCAACTGCCGAAAGCCTGAAACATTAGCGAGGTGAACTGAAAAGAGCTCGGCTAACAATACCGGTAGCTTCAATATAGCGATCCACGCATCTAGATATGCAACTACTCTCACTCCCACTCAGGCTTGTCCCGGGTTTGGTGATACACTTTGCAAAGCACTTTCCTCTTACAGTCTGTCAAACAAATAGTTTTGTCAGGCGGATAGAATCATCAAGAAATGAATCCAACAAGAGCTTCATCGAAGACTAAGATTTTAATTTGCATTTCAATCCATGATTTATTTGGCCACTTCTGAAATCTGATTTGTATCTTCGTGTAAGAAAGCTCAAACTTTGGAAGAATTTCTATGCTAAAAGAATAAAATTGATTTATTTAAAATTAAAAACCAAAAAACATAACTTCCACAAAGTGAAACACCAACTTGCACCATCCATAAAAAGAAATGATAGATATTTCATGGATTGAATGCTTTCGCAAATAAAAAATTGGCATCATCAAAAATTTGTTAAAATGGTATATTTTACTTCTTTTAGAAATATTAATGCTATACTCTAGTAGTTTCCATTGTGATATCTACCATTGCATTGGATATGCATCATGCCCAATGCCACCATGTTAAGCATATACAAGTATCCGGATATCATGGACAAAAGGTCCCCAGTTGGTAAAAAGAGTGACCTAAGACAAGATAAATCTGTCTATTTTTATTATTAGTAACCAGATCAAAGAGTGTCATTTTTCAATTTTTTCGATGAATAAATCCTTATTGATTCTGTTATTTTTGAGGAAGAATCTTTTTCCTAACTTTTTTCTATCATCAATGCAATCATGATTTTATTAATGTGTACTAAAAACTTTGCATTTCAAAGACTAAGGAATGGAAGAAAGTAAACAAAAGAGCAAGCCTGAAATCTCAACAAAAATAGAGAAGGATAACTTTGTTGCATTTCAACCCTGGGCCTGGTGCCCCAATAGCAGATTGTCATTGTTACTACCACTTCCCTTGATAAAGCATTTGCATTATCATTTGCCAATCCTTTTTCTTTCCTGATGAATAAACATCATTTGCCAATCTTCATATGCACTTTAACAGGCAATTCAGGTTATCTGACAATTCCTTTGCCTCTCTATGCTATAATCCAAGGGACTGTAATGTAGGATGGTAGGGGAAAAGTCCTACACTCAGCAATGGTGGGTAAGCATTTTAGATCTTTTAATGCAAGTATCTCAAGTGCTAATTGAAGGAAAGCATGGGGAATTGATGATTTGTATTTTGTAGAGGAAATCTCCAGAGAAAGAAAGAAGGCAATATTGAAAGAAATAGAGAAGAGAGGAGATACCTGGAGATGATGAAGCCTTTTTTCTTTGTTCCAATCTGTCCAAAAAGGCTTTAAATCACACAAATAAAGCTGGCATCAGCCAGCCCTTATCCTTGGAAGTTTCTTGATTTTTTTTTTTTTGGTTTTGGTTTTACAGCCTAGGTATGACAATGACAAGTTGTTATTTCTGTTTTTCTTAGTTCAGTCTGATCATATGTAGACTATTGCAGAAACATGACTAAATCGTATTATATTTGATCGAATGTTTTGAATATTGCGCATATGATGAGTGGTTACTATAAACTATATTTTTTATCAATATTCCTAAAAACTAACTATAGAATGATTTGAAGTGCCTATTGAGCCTCAAGGACTTGTTGAAAAGGCCTTCAAATACATTTATCAAACATTGATAAGAACAAGAAAAAAGAAAGATCATTACCCACTGTTGGTTGCAGTTATCTGGGGTCTTTTGAGGGGTGGAATGAATACAGACCTAACATATGGCTTTTTTTCACACAGTGGCTGCTCTCCAACTCAAACCCACATTCTCACACTTGTTAGCCCAAGATTTATCATTGCACCAAGCAATAGCCCCTACTTGTTCAACATTCATAAAAAGGACTAATAGTGTATTTTCATTAATTTCTCAATATGCAGAAACTTGCCAAAAAAATGTCTCAACATGCAGAATTTTTCAATTGTAACACTTGTGTCTTTTTGTGCGAAAACCACCTACAAATGCCACAAATATTAGGTCACTGAGCTTTTATTACTTTCATCCTACCAAACTTGGTCACCCCTTACACCTTCACATTCTAAAATCAAACCTACCTACCAAATTTCATTGGAACCAACCCTAGGGTTTTTCCCTCAATTTCAAAGCTCTTAAAATTTTAAGAGTGAACATGCAGTTCATGGCAAGAGATTTGGGTGCACCTTTCAGATGGACACAAATATCAACCAACAGAGTGGCTGATTACCAAGGAAAAGCTTGGGGTAAACAGGGCCCAAACATTTCTCAAAATCAACAAATTTTTACAGTTACCAAATATCAATCAATAATCAAATACCAAAAAAAAAAAAAAAAAAACAATCAATCAACCAATTGAACATGTATTTCTTGCAAATAAGACCAAGTCCCATCCCTAAACCAATCTATCCTATCTATTCACCTCAGTTTCATCTGTAAAGCTATTTGAACTTTATTTCTAGCAGTTAGTACCACATAGCTTCTTTCAAAACATTTCTATCAGTAACAATTATTAAGAATTTATTAATGAAAGGACAAAAGCTATTTATCAAAATAAAAATTATTAAAGGACAAAAGCTTTCAGATTTGGAAGAAACCAGACCCATTTGGACTCTGTCTGTATATTTTTGGTCTGTATATTTCCTTATCAGTTTGGGACAGGATCCAGCCTGACCCAAACCATTGACCCATTGACAGCACTACTTAAGTTTCTTAGGTCCAGCTGGTGAAGGTATTCCCTTGGACCTTCTTGTTATTATTCAGGGTCTAAAACTGGCATTCTCAATGAATTGGCATGGGCTGATTGTGGAAGGTGAATGCCAAGAAGTAATTGGTTGATGTCTACAGGAGTAGATTGGTCTGTGTTCCCTAGGCAACTGATTGGAGAAGCTAAGGTTTTTTCATCTAGGTTAAACAGTTTGTTCAGGTTCAAATGCTAATTCATCATCATGGGGAAGAGGTAAGAAGGTCTGACTTGATTTGGCAAGCTCCGGGCCCAGGGGTTAGACGGAAAGGTTTCCATGTATTTTCTGCATTTGATGTGTCAACTATAAGCAGTTTACTTTTTTCTACGGTTTAATATCTGTGGAATACACAAATTTTCACATCTTAACTATATTAACAAGCTTTGCAAGTATGTGGAATGGTGATGTCCCTTCACAAGGATAGGTGATGACAACTCTAACTTTATCTTCAGCAGAAATAGTTTCACAACATTCACACAATGACTAGTGTTGATTAAAACTGCACAGTGGACTAGAACCAAACTGAAGAGAATAAGAATGGCCTCAACTCTCAAGTAGAAACCAGCCAATTTTTCCCAATTACTTTTGTTCCACTCATCAAAACAGTATTTATGTAGTTGAAACCCATATAGATGGGACATACTTAGATGATGATGATTATGACTTTCTTCCATTCTCATCATCCACCATTTGCTCAAATTCAAGGTTGTAGATTTATTGTTTCATTGTAGAAATTTCTATGATATGGACATTATCTGTATATGCCTATAATACCAGTGTCAGACATGATAAGTACCAAATACAAAAAGGAAGAGCGCCACATTTTTGTTTCCATGAAGCATTAGTAGTAGATTTAAGCCCTTGGAAGGAAATTAAGGAATTAAATTCTTTAACCAAGTGATTTTACATTATGGTGCCATACCATAATTTCAGCACTTGAACTTTGCAAGCAATCACAATACATCAACTAGATGTGCAATAATTGGTTATAAAGCTAAAACCGCTTGGTGATTAACACAACGTGCATCAATGCTTGTTCTAGAAGATGCCCAAATGGAGAACTAGACTACTTCGGGCGGCAGGAATTCTAAGCTTCCAAATAAGGTTTCAATGAAGGAAGATCAAATAACACTTCATACAAATACAATCCCAACCAAAATATTCTGACGTAAAATAGATACAAAATATCACCAACTGTAGGGAGATATTTAGAGAGAAAGGGCTTTTGGGAAGTGTACATCTAGTAAAAGAACAAGAGTAACAACAAAGGAAAGAAGTTCCTTCATAAGACTACCCTATTTTTCAATGAATTGCGGACTACATAGTGTAAAATGGTTCCATGAGACCCTTTCTCAAAATTTACACTGCATCATTACTAGCATTATCAAGCTGCATAAAAAATCATCACTAGAATAATCAAATTGCAGCATCATTTGATCATAACCATGCCTACAAGACATCCTTATTGAAGCATATTAGACAACCAAGAGAACACACAAAAGTAAACGGCTGTAGCTGATATCAAAATGTTTAGACAGATATAGCAAAAATAGCAGCAATATACTAAGACTCGCCGCAAAATGTAAATAATAGGAGAGAGAGAGAGAGAGGAGACGGCAAAAGCTTCGTTCTTTAGGAGCAGAATGATAGTCAGACACATTTGAATAGTTATGATCTAACAAGTATGACCTTGTGTTGCTTAAAATATCCTTCTGCGTTTGTTTGACGAATTTGTAAGGGGAATTGAATGATCAATGCTATTGAATCTCAAAATATAAGCTTGAAGATAGACAGAGTTAGGTTTTCAGCTTCAGTGTTACCTCGAGAAACTCCTCTGCGTAAGCCTGGGCAAGTTGAGTCTTAAGTTGCTCCATGAAGGCTTCTGCTGAAGGCTGAGAAGAGCCGCTTGAAGGAGAAGAGAACGAATCCATCTCTCGACTCTCGGTTTCTTCGACGCTCGCACAGCTGAACCCCTTGGACGATATACCCTAATTATCGTTAGAACTTAGAACTTTATATTTTCTAGGGTTAACTACTAATATATACCGCTGAGGTTCGAGGAAAATACCTCTATATACATTCTAACGGAGGGGCCGGCGTTTCACGGGCTCGCTCATAAATTATCAGGTTCGACCTCGATTCGAATTAGAGATTTGAGTTCGAGTCAAAATCTTAGAAGTTCAAGCTCAGTTACTTTTAATTGCAGTTCGAGTCAAAATCTGTAGCAGGCGAAGTGTCAAGCTAAGGTCTCCATCAATTGTCGAGGTGCTGAGTCGAGATCTCCCTTAGTGACCAAGGTGTTGAGCCGATGTCTCCCTCAATGGTTAAGGTATCGTCTAGCTCGAGCTCAATTCGAATTAAAGATTTGAGCTTGAGCTCAAAAATTCGAGCTCGACTCGGCTTGAACTTGACTACCTTTGATTGTAGGTTCCCTAGCAACCGAGATGATGAGCTGATGTCTCCCTCGGTTGGAGACAGAGTGGCATTCTTGTAATTTATAAGGAGAGAGAGATGTCATTCTTGTAATTTGTAAGAGAGAGAGAGAGAGTTGGTAGGATAGAGTGGCATTCTTATAATTTGAAAGAAAAACAAAAGCAAAAGAGAGAGTTGGTAGAGAGTGGCATTCTTGTAATTTCTATGAAAAAAGGCAAAAAATACTGTTAGATTCCATTCCCCTCGTCCTTAGGCCTTCTTAAGTACACATTTCAGCTTAATATATTTAAATAGATATAGATAACTTATAAAATGACCCCAGGCCATCCATTAACAAAATGTCTAGGAACTTATTATTAGTGGTATTGTTTGATTGATCCGTGTTGTATTACTTACTTTATAGGGAAAATTCCCAATTATTACCCTGTGCCTAGTACCAGTTTGGTTTTCGAACTTTAAAATGTGATAATTAAGTATCTTGAACTTTCAAAACTTATTAAATCAGTATATTTGTTTACTAGTTGTTAATTAACTGTTAAGTGGCATTTGAAAAGACACAAATGCCTTTTATTAAACATCCAAACGTTGATAAAAAATGAATAGTCCTAAATCCTTTTATTTTCTATTTAAAGAAAGTTGGGGTCATGCCTCAGTGGGCATTCTGGAGATCCCAACTTTCTTGAATAGAAGAGGTAAGGATTTGGGACTATTCATTTTTTGTCAATGTTTGGATGGTTGATAAAGAAAATTAGATGACACTTGGAGGACAATTATGTTTTTTTGAATGCCACTTAATGGCTAGTTAACGGTAGGTACTAAATTGGCACTGATGAGGGGCATTTTGGTCATCCCACACAACTAGTGACATGTGGACGCTATCGGCAACACAACGCCAAGTCAGCAGACTAGCTCGACGGGTTAGCCTAGAGCATCTCGCACAGACCAACCAGGAAGACAACTGAGTTGGGATAAGCTTGGGCAGCTAGTGAAGCGAGCTCGCCTAAGCCATTTCGCACACCCCACCCTTGAAGGCGCCAATATCGCAGTGGTGAGAACAGCTCTCCGAACCGTGCGCTACAATTTAAGCAAGTGACCTGTAACCGCCGCGCGAATCTAGCAACCAACACATTAACACACCTTATATTGCGGAAACAGCTCTGTCAAAGACTCAAAGACGTTGCCCAATGCCCCTGAACCCCTGATAATTATAAAAGGACTCTGAATCCACCCAAAAAGGTATGTGCAGTATACACCCAAACTTTATCACACTCTCAAGAGATTTCTATACCATCTTTCTGACTTAAGCAGAGTGTTCTCCCTGGGTAAAACTTGCCCGGACACTCTCACCCTTCTTTCTCTGCAACTCACTTCAGCTTGGACATCCAAATATTAGCTCAGCCTTACAGCTTGGCCCTGCTATATTTGAACCTTGTTCGATCCAAGTCACAGTACACGAGGGAGCGACCAGATTGCGCATCATCAGGCACGTTTTGAAGGTTCAGGTACTGAATTGTCACATTCCTAGTGTTCGTCAACATTCCTATGTTGGCCTGAGGTGGAATGGCCAGTGCGGTACCTAGTGTGAGTATGGGTATGGTGTTGACTTGTCAAACGACAGCTGCTTTTAGTTTCAGAGAAATCCTCCTTGGTTTGTCCTTCGAGTCATTAATTTAACAATGCATAGCTAACCTCCTACCTTACGTCCTTGAGCATAAGTGGGTCGGCCGTGTTGGGGTTGGCCTCTTGCTGGTTGCTTTAGGTTGTTCAGTTGGTTAGCAAGGAGAGCTACATGCTGAATTAGTTGTTGGAACTACTCTTGCATGACATGATTTTGGAGAGAGGAAGGAGTGTTGTTTCCTGCCCTCGAGTTATCCTGATTGTCAACCATATTGATTGGGATTGAAAGTTTAGTTAATAATCGTTCGCATAGACAATGCCAATTGATGCTACTGAAGATTGAAGCGAGGTCAAAACTGGAACTTCTAAGGTAATGAGGCTGAGAGTTCCACTTGTTAAAACAAAATGATGTTAGAGGCCCTGAGGTGTGTTTCCAAGGGCGAGGACTACGAATATTAAGTTAGCCAAGGTGTTGAAGTGAGAGGAATGTGATGATGCACGATTTGGCAACTCCCTTGCTAGATGATGACTCAGAAGCTGATTTGGATGGTTCCCTTGTCTGGGCTGAGTTGTGCTAGGCCGAGCTATATAACGGAGAGCTATGTAATTTTTTGAAAGAGTTGCAGGGAAACAATATTAGTTGAGATGGATATGGCCGAGCTATATAACGGAGAGCTGTGTAATTTTCTAAGAGACCTGCAGGGAAACAATATTAGCCGAGCTGTGCTAGGCCAAGCTAGAGATGGCTGAGCTGTTTTATTTTGCAAGAGAGACAAGGTTAGAGTGACCGGGTGTCTTTACCCAGGGAGGGCACTCCGATGCTTAAGTCAGAGAGTGTTTTGAAAGTATTTTAGAAAGTGAGAGAGCTTGTAATCGCGCATACCTTCTCTCAGGAAAATGGTGCCTTTATATAGGTGTGAGGGATTAGAGACCTCCTGTAACAGGTCCCATATACTCGCGACGCCATTTTCGCATAGTTAGCTGAGTTATTACGTTAGTTACATGATATGTGCATGCATATAGCTCACTCGAATAACTCTGGCACGGGTAGGTCGGTCTAACGGTCGAGCGTTATTACTCTAGAGAACTTGATCTTGATAATGGATCTATGTAAAAGGTCGGCGAGCACGCCTTGTAGGTCGTCACTTATACCCTACTTAGCTTAGCCAATCTCCAAAGGAGGTCGCTCCTTAAGCGAAGGTCCTTTAGGTCAGCCAGGCCGAGGTACTTTAGGTTGGCCATAGGCGAGGTACTACTAGCCGACCTTCTGGGGTGATTTGCTTACTCAATGTTGAGGTGTTACTTGAATGCCATGTGTCTCTGGAGGTAGGTCTTCAGGTCTCTGAAGGTAGGTCGCTATGTTGGCGAAGGTAGGTCTCCAGTAGGTATCTAGAGGTAGGTCGCCAGGTCTCTAGTATATCTTTGGAGGTAGGTCTCCAGGTCTCCAATAGGTCTCTGGAGGTAGGTCTCTAGGTCGGCGAAGGTAGGTCTCTGGAGGTAGGTCGCCAGGTCTCTAGTAGGTCTCTAGAGGTAGGTCTCCAGGTCTCCAATAGGTATTTGGAGGTAGGTCTCCATCATTTTGGATAAGGCAAGTCATCGCCTACGTGGTGCCGGGTGTCATCCAGCTATTTTGAGATGCCACGTGACATGATGTCAGTGGAGGGCCAAATTTTTCCTCATCAAAATGCAAGAACAATTAAGTGTATTGGAATGTGTAAGAAAGTTACCTGAGGTATAAAGTTTGTACTTATAGTCGAAGTCTCTCTTAGACTGGTGCAATGAGCTTTTTGTAACAGTTCCACACATTAGGTGCCACTAAGAGCAGGGGTGGAGCCAAGTATATTGGTGGGGGGTCCTTCCCCCCCCCACCCCAAACTTTTCATGCAAATGCCGATGTACTTATACATAATTACATACACAATTATATATGGTTAGTTCGGGTCTGAATAACAAAATCCAATACCAATCCAATTATAAATAAGACACAAAATGCAAACCTAGACCTTATATAATTGAGTCAGTTATTTGGGTATGTCGGGTCAGCCCAACCCATTGAGAGACCTGGATGTCTTATATGACAATTTTGTTTTTTTAATGGTTAAAACAAAATAAGAAGGCCAAATATGTGCCTCTCTCCTTATATGTGCTTTCTAAACAAAAAAACAATGGTGAAACTATTTCTCACATCTTTTTATCCTGTCATTTTATACTTTGTATTTAAGAACATATTTGTTCTATCTTTGGGTTTAATTGGACTTCTCTTCAGGATGTGATGGGTCTCTTTGATTCAAACTTCTTGAGACAAGTAAAGAAAAGAGGAAGGTTGACGTGGAATGCAATTAACAAATTTGTCCTTCATCCAGTTATGCCCAAGGTTCAAAGTATCAGAAACATCAAGTGTATCGGAAAGACAATTTTAAGAGACGTATCGGGATACGCCTTGGATATGCATGTGTATTGGAGAAAAACTAAGATATGCATAGATACGCTTGGAAACACTATAAATACTATAATAAATCATAAAAATACATCAATAACACTAAATATAAGACCTCAATGAGGTGTATATTGTAGTTAACTATAATTTATAAATTATATTTCTTTAGTTTTAATGTTTTATAGGATGGGAAAAACCCAACTCTCCTATCCAACCATAAAACATGTTTTGGCACAACTTCTAAGTAAAAGTATAATCAATAATTATTTATTTTCAAAAAGGGTAAATCTCTTAAACTACCCCTATTGTTCACGAAATTGACAAGCTATACCTTTACTGTTTAGATATTGTCTTGTGGTATCCTTAAGTTTTATGACAATTGACTAGCTTTACCTCTACCGTTAATATCTGTTAATGTTCCATCAAAATTTATACACATGTAACATCATGTGATGTATAAATTTTTTTCAAAACCCAATTTTGCCCTTCCTCCCTCTCCCTTCTTCTTCACCAGTCCTGTTTGCTGGGCTCAAAGCTT